TAACGCAAGGCAGTGCACAACAGTCCAGAGCAATGCCGTGCAGAGTACCGCAAGGCAGCACAGAGCAAGCCAGAGCAGCGCAACACAAAGCAGTGCAGTGCAACGCACTGCAGAGCGAGGCGAGGCAGCGCAGTGCGGCGACGAGGCGGCGACGGCGACGGCGACGGCAAGCACGGAACCGCCGGGCGGGCACGCAGGCCCAGAGCGACGGGGGGGCGACGAGGCAGCGATGGGGCGGCGACGACGAGCACGGAGCCGCCAGACTGGCCCGCAGGCCCGGACGACGGACGGCGACGAAACGGCGACGGGTCGGCGATGGCGAGCCCGGAGCCGCCAGACCCCTTCGTGCAAGCACTGTTCGGGGAATGCACATGCTTATAGAGAGATCAGGAGGCCATCAGATGTGCTAGAATTGAGTCGGGCCTGTCCCCCTGCAGGGGGATTTTTGACGAAAAATAAAAAATAGTGAAACAATACACCAAACTGGCGAAACAAATGCTCAAAACATCGTCCCCAGACTAGTGCTCTACTATTTGTGAATATTCCCACTGTAGAGGGACAGGCCCGACTTAATTCTAGAACTCTCGAGCACGCTCCGCGCGCGCTCAGGCTCTGATCCTGAAAGCTTCGTGCGCGGCTGCGGCCTCTGGAGGTCGATGCACGTGTCAGCACGTCGTAAGGCGTCGAACTTCGAAGGGCCTCCTGTCAAGACCTCCAGCGTCGCACATTTGAACAGATCAACGCACACGAGCGGCGACAAGAAACGGTTCTCACGCGAGATGACACAGCGACCTTGCGCCGCAGATTACGCGGGCCGCCGGCGCGGCACGCCGCAGTGGAAGCGATGGCGCTTACGCGCGACCCTACGCGCGCAGCTTGCGCGCGAATGCCGGTGCAGACGGCCCTGCTCTTCTGCCTCGTCCACATGGCTTTCGCGGTCATATCCCTCGTGTGGCCTGGATGAAGAGGAAGGGATTCGTCGACGCTCCTGGGGATGAGTGGACTGCTCGCATGGCGGAGACCTTCAGGCAGGAAGGCGAACAAGATGGCCTGCAGAAGATGCCAGGGAGGCCCACGTGAAACATAGACCAACACGAAGTCAGAAGTCGCAGGGCCACCTGGGACTTTCTTGGATGTCTCTGAAGGGCCTTCTCGGAGCCTCTTTGGGCCCTCCTGGAGCTTCTTGGGGGGTCCCCTTGGAATCTATTCGGGGCCGACTGGCTGTTGCGGAAGCTGTATGAGCCCTAGGGCGCTCAGGAAAGCCCTTCGAAATCGTCCTCTTGGGGCGGCCCTCTTGGGGCTGCGGGGGGCCTTTGGATCGCCTTCGGGGCCTCCTGGGCGGACTTGGGACCCTCTGAGGCGGTCTTGGGGCTATCTTGGGTGCCTCGTGGATCGTCTTGGGGCGATAATGTAGGCCTGTTCGACCGTCTTAGAGTTGGCAGCCCGGAGCAGAGAGGACTCAAAAATTAATCAAACACCGTTGGGACATCTCGCAGTTTTGGCTCTCCTGGCCCTCTTCGGAATTATCTTGAGGCCCTCTTGGGCCACCTTGGGGGCATTTCTGGGCCTGGGGGCCATGATGGGACCGTTTCGACGCCCTCGTGGCCCCACTTGAACGGGGCAGGGACACACAAATAAATGTACACAAATCGAAGGATTCCCGACATGTTCCATCTGTTTGGGATGTTCGTCTTCCCCTCCACTCCCATATTTTCCAGATTTGCTTGATAAGCGGCGATTTGCTGTGTCACGGAAGAAAGACCCTAGGCAAGAGTCACCTTTGGCGCGCGGCTTAGGGGACGTAGGGAGACCCAACCTGGGCGTGCAGGCCGCTGCCACCGCTTCGCGCTGAGCGGTCGGGGGACCCCGGTGGGCCCGCGCCGGAGGTCACTCCGACGAGAGGTCACGCTGACCTGTAGCCGATGCGTGCGCTTTTCCCTTCTGAAAGGAAGGTCGCCCGACGCCGTGTGCGGGTCTCTCTTCGCCCGTCGTGGGGCTCCCCTGGGGGGCCGCCCGGGGGGGGCGGGGGCGACGGCAGATGCCCTCGAGGTGCCAGGCCCTGAGGGGGGGCAGGCGGCAAACACACACACACACAGACAGACACACACACACACACATGCACGCGCATGCAGACACGCACACACGCACACACACACACACACACACACGCGCGCGCGCGCACGCACGCACGCGCGCGCGCACGCGCACACGCACACGCACGCACGCACGCACGCACGCACACACACAAACCCCCACTTACACGCACGTACGCACGCACGCACACAGGCACACAGGCACGCACACGCACACGCACACACACACACACTTTTTTCCGACGGCGGCTAGACAGAGTCACTGCGCTGGCGATGGGTCGTACGTGGGATGCACACACAACCACACGCACGCACGCACGCATGCGCGAAGCACGCACGCACGAACGCACGCACGCACGCACGCACGCACACACACAGACACACACACACACACACACACACACACACACACACACACACACACACACACGTACGCACGCACGCACGCACGCACGCACGCACGCATGCGCGCGCACACACACACACACACGCACACGCGCACACACACACAAACACACATACACATACACACACGCACGCACGCACGCACGCATGCACACTCACACTTACACGCACTCACGCACGCACGCACTCACACACGCACACACACACACACACACTACTTTTTTCGCCGGCAGATAGGCCGAGTCACTGCGCTGGCGATGGGTCGTACGTGGGATGCACACACGCACGCACGCACGCACGCGCGAACACAACGCACGCACGCGCGCGCGCACTCACGCACGCACGCACGCACGCACGCAGGAACACACACGCACACACACACACACACTTTTTTCTGTCGGCGGCTAGGCGGAGTCACTGCGCTGGCGTTGGGGCGTACGTGGGACGCACAAACACACACGCACATACGTACGCATGCACGCACGCGCGCACGCACACACATAAACACATACACGCACACACACACACACCTACACACATACGCATGCACACATACACACACGCACGCACGACCGCACGCACGCACGCACGCACCACGCACGCACGCACGCTAGGCAGAGTCACTGCGCTGGCCATGGGGCGTACGTGAGATGCACACACACACACACACTCACGCGGGCACGCACGCACGCACGCGCGCACGCACGCGCGCGCGCGCACGCACGCGCGCGCGCACGCACGCAAGCACACACACAAACATGCACGCACGCACGCACGCACGCGCGTGCACGCACGCGAGCACGCACGCACACACACAAACGCACACACACACACACGCACGCATGCACTCACACACAGTTACGCACACGCACGCACGCGCGCACGCACGCACGCACGCACGCACGCGCGCACGCACGAACGCACACACACACACACACACACACTCTCACAACACACACACACACACACACGCACGCACACAAAGACACACACACACACTTATACGCACGCGCGCACGCACGCACTCACGAACGTACGCACGCGCGCACGCAGGCACGCACGCACGCACGCACGCACGCACGCACGCACACACACACACACGTACGCACACACACACACATACACGCACATACACGCACGCACGCACGCACGCTCGCACGCACGCACGTGTGGTCCTGCGTACGCACGCACGTACCCACCCAAGCACGCACGCACGCACGCAGGAACACACACGCACACACACAGACACACACACACACACACTTGTTTTTCTGTCGGCGGCTCGGCAGAGTCACTGCGCTGACGTTGGGGCGTACGTGAGATGCACAGACATACTTACATACACGCACGCACGTACGCACGCACGCACGTACGCACGCACGCACACGCACGCACGCACAGGCACGCACGCACAAACACACACAACACATGACACATAACACATAATACACAACACGCAACACACGCAAAAGTAGGTCCACATGTACTTTTATATATATATAGAATATATGTATATACACATATAGAGAGAGACATAGGTACACATATGTATGTGTGTCTGTGTGTACAAACACCTATAACCCGAATGCCCGTGTCTATATATATATATATATGTATATATATATATATGCACATATAATCTCCATGTATGCATACACAAATACATCTGTGCATATGCATACGTAGAAGCGTGGCTCGATTGTAAAGTCCACGGAGCAACGCGAGCCGACATTTGCCGACGCGCGCCTCTGTTTCCGGGTTCCTGGCGCGGGAAATCGATGCCTTTGACGGGGGCCCTCTTGGTAGCCCTCCCGGGGCCGTCCTGGGGGCCCATTGGGCTGCCTTGGAATCGTTTGGGGGTCCGGGGGCCCGCTTCGGCACTGGAGGCCCTCTGGGATCTCTTGGGGCCTCTCGGGGTGCTTTTGGGGTTCCTGATTCGGGCCTCCTGGGGACCTTCTGGGTAATTCTTGGGCCTTCTTGGGGCCCTCTTCGGCCGTGTTGGGCCCCCCTTAGGCCACCTTTGGGCCTCGTGGGGGCACCTGGGGGGCTCACTGGGCCGTCTGGGGCCCTCCTGGGGGCCTCTTGGGCTGTCTCGGTGCGAGCTTGAGAGCCTCTTGGGCCGTCCTGGGGGCTCCGAAGCTCGAAAACGCGAGTCCTTTTCAAATCCTTCGAAAACCTTTGATAATCAATGCCTTTGGCATCTGGAGCCCTCTGGGGTCCTCTTGGGGGTCCTCGTGGGGCCTTCCGAGGGCGTCCTGGAGACCCTCTTTCTCATCTCGAAAACCACTTCGGCCGTCTTGGGCCCGTCCTGCCGAGACTCGGTGCCCTCTCAAACAGTCCTTGGACCCTCTTGGGAGCCTCTGGGGCCTTTTTGGAGCTCTCCGTCGGCCTGGAGTACCCCCAGACCCGCGAAGGCGTAGTGCCAATCGATTCGAATGCATGCTTGCCTTCAGCCTGCCGCGCGTGGGACAGCCCGGAGGCCAGGAGTGGGCTCGATTATTTTCTTTTGGTTCGACACTTTGCGCAGGCCAAGCCAAGTTCTCACCAACCCTTGCAACGCAAGGTGGTGCCAGAGAAGATCAGTAGGTGCAGGTGCTGGAGCACTGGAACTCAGGGGTTACACGGTACACCATGAGAGAGCACTACAGGTGGTGACCAGCTGGAGGTGAAACCGAGAGCACGCGGGACAAAAGTCGCCGTGTTGCCGATATTTATTATAAAGGCCGCTGACCACCCTCCGCCTGAAAGGTGCCCCTGGGCGCAACTGGCCACGGAGCGGGATGGCTGGTGGGGGCCCCGAAAATCGGCCGGGAACTAGGATGATCAGCACCAGATGGCTGGGGGCGGGACAGAAGGGAAGGATCGGACCCAGACCCCCGACGTCACGATTTATTCATCACGCGACTCCCAAAAGTCCGGACCTGTTCGCCGAGGCCAATTTTTCATCCCGAGCCGTTTTTTGCCGGCCCCGAGGGCCGGTAAGGGCCTCCAGAGGCCGACAGTATAGAAACACCTTCCGTCGTGATTTTTCCATGACTCGAGGGGGTCTGGGGAGGGATGGACGTGAAGGATTGGGAAGGACTGGGAAGGATGCTGGAAGAGGAGGCAGAACGCCTTGCCGTCGCTCGAGCGTCCCTTCCCCGTGCTTTTTTGCTGGCGTCGTGTGCTCATTTGTCGCAAGATGGTCCAGGAGGCTCCTCGCCGGAGAAAATGCACACGACCGAGCGATGCCAAGATCTGGGAGACGTAAGACTCGGGTACAGGGGACTCGGGTTGGCCTGACGGGGGCCATCATAAGAATGACGAGAGCCAATTTGAAATTAGACGCGGGCTCCCGCTGCAGAAATCCCACGAAAACCGGACCGTCAAAATCCAGGACGCGCTTGTCAAAAACTTTGGCAAACCCGAGTTCAGGCTTACTCGAGCCTTACGTTTCCCCGACAGGAGGCTGTAGGACTTTGGGGTGCCCGGAGGGTCCACGTGGATCTGGGGGGGGGCGCTCCTCCCTCTCCCCGCCCTCCCCCGGGTCGCGGGGGGCGCACAAGAGGGGAGGGAAGAGTGGGAGGAGAACGAGGACCATCAGGGATCGACCCAAGAAATGCTTTTCGTTTTCGTGTGGCTTTCGTTTCCCCTCGTGTCCTCTTCACCCAGCACGCAAAAGACGTCGACACGAAAACGGCCCACGAAATCGCCAAATCATTGCTGAGGCCGACCCCTGAGGAGCATGGGGGGAGGGGGGGAAGGGGGTATGATTCAGCGGTCAAAGGACCCCTGACCCCGCGGGAGGGTACCTAAGTCGGGAGGGCAAACGAACATCAGGGATAGGGGGGGTCTCTCCTGCGGAAGCGTCCGGCCCAACCGCCCAGAACTATTCTTTACGCTTCGCGCATCCCCACCAGCCCATCTCACAGCACCAACTCTCGCGAAGCATGCCGACAGTCGTGTTTTTCAGGCGTGTGTCCGCTTGGCCCCGCATATCTCCCCTGTTCCTCCTTCCTCCCGCCTCCTTGTACATCCTCCTTGTGGGGGGAGCGGGAGAAGGACGAGGCGAAGGAGGAGGGAGAGAAAGCGCTAACGAACATCAGGGATAGGGGGGGGTCTCTCCTGCGGAAGCATCCCGCCCAACCGCCCAGAACTACTGATCCCCAAACTGCGACGGCTACTCGGGGCAGGGCCCCTCGCATCCTCGATGAGGGCAGGGGGGCAAGGACCTCGAGGGCGAAGGGGCCCTGGGACACACACACAAATACACACAGATAAAAGGACCCCCCATGTTTTCCCATGTTTTCGGGGTCCCTGTCTTCCCGCCCACTTCCCATATGTTCCCATATGTTCTGGGAAATCGACGATTCATTGTGTCTGTGTGTCCTTTCCCCTCCTGAAAGGACCTCGAGGGCGCAGCGGCTCACCGACACCTCGCCGGCACGCCGCCCTCGCCGGGTGGCGCCGGCCCCCGGGGCGCCGCGCCCCCCTCTCCGTGTGGGCGGGCCCTCCCTTCGCGCCGCTGTGCCGGGCGCTCCAGGCCTCCCTCCTCACTCCTCCCTGTCTCTCCTCCCTCCTCCTCCTCCTCCTCCTCCTCCTCCTCCTCCTCCTCCTCCTCCCTCCTCCCTCCTCCCTCCTCCCTCCTCCCTCCTCCCTCCTCCCTCCTCCTCCTCCTCCTCCTCCTCCTCCTCCGCCTCCTCCTCCTCCTCCTCGGTCTCGGTGGGCGGGCCTCTCTTGGCGACGAGCGAGGGGGGGAGGGAGAGGGAGGATGCCTTCTCTTGGGTCGGGCCTGGCCCCGTGCAGGCCTACAACCCTCGTCGAAATTGAACGCAAGTTTTTCCCGCCCCCGTCGCCCCCAAATTTCAATGTTCATCGACAGGCGCATCGCGTCCGGCGGGGTCCGAAGAAAACCTCGAAGTCGCTGGCGTCGGCGTGAACATTGAAATTGGGGGTCGGGGGGCGCCGCCAGGTCGCGGCTAAAACTTGCGTTCAATTTCGACGAGGATGCATGATCGAGAAACAACAAAAAAAGAGCCCAACAAACACTCAGACGGGATCCACACAAAGATACGAAAGAACTGGTTCTGATCCAGCAGACCTCAAACTCATCACCCGTAGTCGCCAGTCTATGTGTTTGACTGGTTCTGAGTCTTCCCCCGGTAGGGGGACAGTAGGAAGGCACCAACTATACACCAACACCGATCCTGGCCAGGATCACCCTGGGCCCAGGATCGGCGTATACGCCCTCCTGCCTTGGGCAAGAAGGCATATACACCGATCATGGGCCCAGGGTGATCCTGGGCCAGGATCGGTGTTGGTGTATAGTTGGTGCCCTCCGAGGACAGGCCCGACTTCAGTGGAGCGACGAGCGGGGGGAGGAAGGGAGCAAGCGCAGGCCCTCTCCGAGGGCGGCGGGACCTCTCAGAGGCCGGCGCGCCTCTCGAGGGGTGCCCCAGCAGGCGGGGGGGAGGGGGCGGGCGGGCGGGCGGGCGTCGGAGAAAAAAGTGTCCTGGGGCTGTGCGCGGGGCGGGTGCTCTTCGCCAGGCAGGACGTATCGTGTTGGGTCGGGCCTGTCCTCCTACAGGGTGAGTTTGGACGAAACATAAAGCATAGCCCAAGCATTAGCCCAACGATAAGAAACATCGCCCGAACACACAGCGCAACAAAGGAGCCCCAAGAATGGCAAATCTCCAAACATCATCCCCAGACTATCGTTTGTCTATTCTTGAATCTTCCTCCTGTAGGGGGACAGAACCGGCTCAGGTATAGGAAGAGGAGTTGGGGCATCATCGGCGGCGAGCGCGGGGGGGGGGGGGGGGGGAAATGCGAAGGAGCAAAGCCTTCTCTTCTCAGAGGGCGGCGGGCCCTCTCAGAAGCCCTCGCGCCTTCCGAGCAGCTGCCCCTGTGCCTTCGGGGCAGGCTCCGAGGACTCTCCAGGAGGCCCAAGGGGGCACCTCCGAGCCCTCCGAGAAGGCCAGCCCCTGCCGAGCTGCCCGCGCCCGAGCGCTGCCGAGCTCTCTCCGCCTCCGCGGCCGCCCTCGCCTCCTTGCCCGCCCTCGGGCCCCGCGCCCGGCGCGCCCCGCCGACAGCGGCCCGCGCGCCGGCACCCGCCGGCGCCGCCCCCACCCCCCCCACAAGAGTGCGCCCCGCACGCGCTGTGCGCTCGCAGCTGGGCGCGCCTTGCGCGCCCAGCTGCTCCTGGAGGAGGAGGAGGAGGAGGAGGAGGAGGAGGAGGAGGAGGAGGAGGAGGAGGAGGAGGAGGACATGGGGTCGCTTCTCTCGCTGCTGCGCTCGCTTGCCTGGGCTGCGGGCCTCGGCGCTGCTCTGGCTCTGGCACCTTCCAGGCGGCGCGCGCCGCGTGTCTCCCTGTGGCGTGTCGCCTTCTCCACGTGCCCCCCTCCCCGTCTCTGCACGCGTCAGCCACGTGCTGACCATGCACCGGCAAAGGGCTTGGTGGTGGTTGATCATGGCGTGCCCCGCCCTTGTACTCGTCGCGTTTGATCAACCGGCCGTGCCAGAGGAGAGGGTGTGCCAAGGAGGAGGTTTGGGAGAAGGAAGAATAAGAGGAGAAAAAAGAGGAGGAGGAGGAGGAGGAGGAGGAGGAGGAGGAGGAGGAGCGGCTGACGAGGAGGAGGAGGAGGAGGAGGAGGAGGAGGAGGAGGAGGAGGAGGAGGAGGAGGAGGAGGAGGAGGAGGAGGAGTGTGTGCCAGTGCCTTTCCCCACCGCGCGGTGCTTCCACTTCCCTCAATCTGCCCCCCTCGCCTCTGCGCGCTCGTGGCCGACACCCCCGCAGCAGGCACAAGCCCGTGTGCCCCTCTCCCGGCGGGGCGCAGCCCACTCTGCACGGCGCCTGCACCGACGGGAGCCCGAGGCCGCCAGAGCCGCCAAGACGCACCGCCGTCGGAGAGGGCCGCCCTCGGCGGCCGCGCCTCCTCCTCGCTCGCCTCTGCCTGCCACGGCCCACCCCCCAAGGATCCTGGGGCGCCGCGGCGCTGACCGGAACTGCCTCGCGGAGCCCTGGCACACGGCCGCTCTCGTGCGCGGGCGGCCGACCCACACTGCTCTTGGACAACAGGGGGTCTCGACACCCGGGAGCGTGGACGGAGAGAACGAACGAACCTCTTGTAAAGAGATCCTCGGGCTCCCTTCCGGTTCCGCTGTCTGCGTTCGTGCGGGGTCATCGGATGTCCTTCCAGCTCCACTCTCTGCCTGGGGCTGCTTCGCGTCTCGCGGTCCGAGCCGCAACGTCTTCGGACAGCTCATGTGGTGTCAGAAATGGTTTTTGAAAGATGCGTCACCCGCCTCTGAGCACCATACAAGACTTGTTCGAGCCTTCTGCTGCACCGATGAGGATGAAAGAGGCCTGGGGAGGCAGACATACACGGACACACATTCTAAAATGCCCTACATGTTTCCCGATACTCGCTGGATGTTTCTCTTCCCCCGATATCCCACATGTTACCATATCTTCACGGAAATCAGCGTATTTTCCTTTGTGCTTATTCTTCCCTCCCGAAAGATGGCGAACCTGCGGCTAACACGGACCACGCCGCATCTGCTGCACCACGAACAATTACACCGCTACTGCTATTGATACCTACTGCTACTAGAACTGTTGCGACTCCCACGTGGCACTACTGCTGGTATCTACCTGCACTGCTGCCGCTATCGTTAGCGCTGTTGCTATTACTGCTATTGCGGCTGACACTGCTGCACTCACTCCTGCTGTTTCAACAAAATCCTTCACTCTGCAACGACAACGAACCGACAATACTTCTGGAGGCCCTGGAAAAGCCCCCTGCCCAGCCCAAAGAGCCTTTTGAAGGCCCCCCGCAATTCGCGGTGGCCATCGACACTGGGCGGCACTGATACTGCCTCTACGACACGGAAACGTCGCTCTTGCGCGCACTTGGGGCATCATGCTCATCTTTGATAACGTGTAGGAGGTCGAGCATTGACTTGCTCATCTGCACGAGCAGCAGAAGTTCTGGCGGCTTGTCCGCTGTGCACCAATGCAGGATTCCGTTCACAAATTCCTCAATGTCCAGCGAGCCACTGCGATCAACGTCCAACATGTGAAAGACCTCCTCGACCGCGAGCGTGGGCAGGTCGCAGATGTGAGTGAGCTGGTCCTGAATTTCTTTGGGTGCCGCCAACATCTCCGCTAGATCGACAAAACCGCTGTTATCAGTGTCCAGCATCTCGAGCAGAGCCTTCAACTTCGGAATCATTGCCTTCCTCCTCTCTGATTCCCACGCTTTCTTCGCTTCCAGGTCCTCGTTGGCAGTGCGGAGGGACGACTCGACCATAATGGCGGTGACGATGGACATGAGCGCAATCGGGCCAATCATGAAGAATACGAGGAACAGCACGCTCACTAACCAATTCGCCTCGATCAGGGGCCTGTATATTGAAGCCGTGCTGTCAAGTGCCATCATCTGCATGAATGTCAATACGGACCCCCCCATCGTGCGAAAATTTTCCTGGGCCTGTAAGGAGAGAGCCTCGTCGCTGCTGCCGACGACCGTCTCCATGCCAAGGATGGCAAATATATAGACGACCATCATCATGAGAATACCCGTCCAGAACATTGGCAAGAGGGCGTGCATGAGACCTTGCACGAGCAACCACATGGTGCGGAACTGGACCACTACCCGCACCGTCCTGGCAAGCCGGACAAGACGAAGCATCTTCAGCATGTTCATGTTGCCGACCGCAACTTCCATAGCCCCACCACCGAGTGAGACCAGAGTGAGCACGAAGTTCGCCAATCCAGAGACTACCAGCACCGTATCAAACTTCACCCAATTGCTTGACATCGCTTCCTTCACTCCGACTGCATGAAAACGCAAGCCTAGCTCGACAACGTAGAGGAAAAGAAACAAATACTCTACTACAACTAAAGCCATGGGAATATCATCCCCGCGGACGGTGTAGGACGTCTCAATGCCGATGGTCGCGGAATTCAAGATGATGATCACTCCCATTGTGATGTCGAAGACGCGAGATGTAAGGATCTGGAATGCTCGTTTCTGGGAAGAGGTCGTCGCGTTGCTTTTCTTCTGGTAGAACTCCATGTCTGGACGCCTAGTCTCGGCGTACATCCTCCTCCTCTTCTTCTCCTCCTTGCTTCCCTTGATCATCTCGAAGTCCTCGTCCGAAAACATGCTCACATTTCTCAGCACCTCGTCGGAGCCTCAAACCAAAATGGTGCGGCATCGGAGCGCACGGCCTCGAAATCCCAAAAGACGACTCACCTCATAACCGTCCGGTCACGCAGTGTGGCCACCACACTGCTTGGGGGACATGCTGACACCGCCACTCCACGGACCTCTCCCGGGCCCCGCTCTGACCAGAACTTTGACGCGACTCCAGACGTGGCCGTGGCGTCGAGGGCCTCCCAGGAGGCCCAAACACACGAACCCGAAGGAGGGGCAGCGGCATCACCTGGGAGCCTGTGCGAGCGCTCCTGGGCGCGCCTGGAAACTGATCCAGGGCGCTCCCGGGCGCGCCTGGAACCGCCTGGGAGCGCGTGGAAACGCCTGGGAGCGCCTGGGAGCGCCTGGAAGCGCCGGGGAGCGCCTGGGAGCGCCGGGGAGCGCCTGGGAGCGCCTCCTCCCCCTCCTCCTCCCCCCCCTCTCCTCCCCCCCCTCCTCCTCCTCCTCCCCTCCTCCTCCTCCTCCTCCTCCTCCTCTCCTCCTCCTCCTCCTCCTCCTCCCCCCTCCTCCTCCTCCTCCTCCTCCTCCTTCTCCTCCTCCCCCTCCCCCTCCCCTTTCCACCTCTGAGTTTGGAGGGGCCCAGACCTTGTGGTAGGAATCCTCTCGGCTCCTCGAGCTCGCCTTGGTCGCGCGGGCGCCCTTCGAGGGGCACTCGGCCACCACCGTCGCCCGAGTCTCGGCCCGGGCGCCGGGCGCCTCGCCGCCGACGCCGGCGTCGGCCGCGACGGTCATGCCTGGCAGCGAGCTGGGCGCGGCCCTGTCCTGAGGGGCAACGTTCCCAGACCCCCTCGAGTTATGAAAAAATCACGACGGGAGGTTTTTCGTTGTTTTTGGCCTCTGGGGGCCTTTACCGGCCCTCGGGACCGTCAAAAAACGATTCAGGACGAAGAACCGGTCCCAGGGAAAGGGTCCAGACCGCTGGGGGTCGACGTCATGAAAAATTCATGACGTCGGGGGTCTGGGTCAGGGGGGGGACCAGCTCAGGGGGCGAAGCATCGAGCTGGAATCGGCGAGACGTCGCGACAGGCCCCCGGCGACGAGCCCGAAACCGCTCCTGGAGGAGCAGCGGGAGCAGTGCAGAGAGCGTGCAAGTGGATCGCGAGCACACCTCGAAGCACGGAGAACGGAGACCGACCACTTTGGGACGAAAGTGGTCGGTTTAGTTCCGAGGGAAGGGAAGGAAGGCGCAAGCCACCCCCCTTTACGCATTGAGAGCTCGGGCTCCTGCGGGGGAGCCGCAGGGACCTCGAGCTCGGAGAAGACGAGCGGGAGGAGGAGGAGGAGGAGGAGGAGGAGGAGGAGGAGGAGGAGGAGGAGCAGCAGCAGGAGGAGGGGGACCAGCTCAGGGGGCGAAGCATCGAGCTGGAATCGGCGAGACATCACGATGGGCCCCCTGGTAGCGAGCCCGAGCGCTCCTGGCCAGGCTGGGCCAATCGGGGCCCAGCTGCGATCAATGTGCGGTCGGGTGTCGATGCGTCCCCCCCACCGAGCCTATCTCAAGGGGCCCTGGGACACAAATAAATAGACACAAATAACCAGATTCCCCACACTTTCCCATATTTTCTGGGTTTGTGTCTTCCCCCCACTTCCCATGGTTTCCCATATTTTCCTGGGGGTCGACGATTACTTGTGTCTTGTGTCTGTGCGTGTTTTTTTTCCCTCCTGACTAACCCGTGGCCAGAGCTCGAGCATCTAATTCGTGGCCGTTCGGGCTGACCTGGGCACCCCTGGAGTGCCCTCGGCGAGGCGCGGCGCTGCTGGACGGCATCCGAGGCTGGAATGCGGCCGAGAACCGAAAACCACGGACTGGAAACTTTTGAAGGTTCCCCAGGACACACGAAGAAATACACACAGATTCGCCGGTCCAACGGGCCAGAGGCGTGCGAAGATCTCCAGTAACTGGTTTACAATATTTCTAGCTCGCGCGCGGGGGGCGGCCCCTGGGGGTCCCCGGGCGAAAACTACCCCGGGCAAGTCCCGGGAAGGTCGGGTCGGAGATGCCGGACCGGGCAATTTTTCGACACTCCTCACGAGGATCGTGGCCTCCGAAGGGGGGAGCCGCAATCGACTACCCCCCTCCCGCCCTAAGAGGCCCCAAAGAGCCCCCTAAGAGGCCCTGGGGTCCCCCAAGACGCCGCCCAGGAGCCCCAAGAGACTCCCAAGAGGTCCCCAAGAGGCCCCCAAGAGGCCGGCGGAATGAGTGAAGCGAGTAAATAACAGGATTCCCACTATTTTCATATATTTTCTGGTTTTTTGTCTTCCCCACATTTCCCATAGTTCCTTATATTTTCTGGGGAATCGACGATTAATTGTGTCTGCGAGTTTTTTCCCCGTGGGCCTCCGCGCCCCCATCGTAAGCGCGATTCCGACTAGATGCCGCCCAGACTCCGATCACCACCCTTCACCCTGTCGCCCACATGTCGTCCAGATGTCGACCACATCCGACCACATCTGGACGAACCGCCCAACATCGCAAGGCACTTGGGGACCCTCTGAGGCTCCGATGATCGGGGGTTGCAGGAAGCGCCCCTGGCCCCAGGTGCCCCCAGCTCTCCGATCCACTTCGGAGCCCGCCCGGGCCTCGTGAGGGGTGCTCCGGAGGCCTCGGCGGCCTCCTTGGACATCCTCGGGGGCACCCTGGGCCGGGAGCACTTCTGACAACACCCGACAGGAAGGCTTCGAGCATCTTGAGGTCGACCCCCCTCCTGCGGGCAGTACTCCTGCTCACATCCACTGCACTATGGACTTTCGGGCCCCCTTCCCCAGAGACCCGAGGCGCACCGGACATGGCTAAATCTGCCCCCTAGAGGCTCGACTTGCATCCATATCCAGTGCGCCTCGGCCTCGTTAGAGGGTCCGGCGTAAATAAGGAACGCTTATTTTTCACAAAGGGCTTCGTTCCTTCGGTTTGCGTGCGTTCCGCTACCTTTTATGGCGGCGAGCCCCCCTGGAGTTCCTTCGGACCTCCTAGACTTACAACAAGAGGCTTCGTTCCTTATTCATCTTTCCTTAGGTCAGGCCGAATACTGTAGACGAGCAACAAAAACCACATGGACATAAACTCGTGGCGCTCCGGACGGATTCCTTGGATCTGCGCCGGAAGTCCCCTCCCTGGCGCGCGGAGCGCGCCAGAGGCCGCTGGGGGGGCCCAGCGCGGATCCCAGAACTTCGCGCGGAGCGCCAAAAGTCTTTGTTTGCGTGGTGTCTTCTTCTTCGACTTGTAGCGCCCCTTCCAAGAAAGTCTCGCTGCACCGACCTTGCAGACGTGCTGCAGAGGATTTTCGTGTGGATTTCTGTCCGTGCAAAATCCAGAGACGGCGAGTGAAAAACGACAAGAATTTTGCATGGATGTTTCAAGTTCTCATTCCTGGCCACACAGAACTCCGCACGAAATCCCCCTCGAAGTCCGGCCGGAACGAGATTCTCCAGGACACTCCGGGCCCATCCTCTCGCTTTTTCCGAGCCAGGTCCGCTCTGCGACGCTGGCGCCATGGAGAGTCCGAGACTCGCTGGACGTCGATACAAATCCTGCCCGCAACCCCCGCCGTTGCCCCTGGCGTCCGCTGGGCCGCCATCGGCGGTCTGCCAGGCGAGCCGCATCGGCGGGGGCTGCTGCGCGCCGCCCGCCGAGGGCGGGGGCTGCTCCTGGCGGCAGCAGGGCTCGGGGGTAAACTCTGCCCCGTCCCCCCACAAGCAGATCTCGGAGGACAGATGCCTGACAGAGCAGAAACAAAAATACGCAGACACGGTCGACAATGATAGAGCCGTCGTCCCCAGACCATGTTCCTACTATGTTTGAGCATTCCTCCTGTAGATGCACGGTTTCCCCCGGGGCCGTAGGCGACCCGAGGAGGGGGAGGAGGAGGAGGAGGAGGAGGAGGAGGAGGAGGAGGAGGAGGAGGAGGAGGTGGAGGAGGACGGGTCGCCTAAGCCCTTCGGAGAACCCCTCCGCCTGTAGAGGGACGTGCCCGACTTAACTTCAAAGGGGGAGGAGCTGGCACCGTCACCCCTCGAGGTGAGGACATCGAATGCACGAGCAACTGCATTCCAACGCCCTCCCCCTCCCCTCGGAAGCTGGGCGAAAGCTGGCAAATCCGTGGCTGCTACAACGGTCTTCCCAGAAAAAATCCAGGAATAGACCTCGGCACGCCAAACAGTAACCGGCCTGCTTCCTGGGAGGAAGAAACAATTTCCCAGAACTCCGCTTTAGCAGCCACGGGTTTGCCAGCCTTCGCCTGGCTTCTGATCCAATCCCCTTCCTTCCGTATCCTCGCGGCGAGGGCCTCGAATTCGTGAACAGCTGATTTCCGTCGCCCTCTCCCTCCTCTCCCCCTCCTTCCATCCTCCCCTCCCCTCCCCCCACGCACGCCTGTGAATACTGCGTCGGATGTTTCACGTTCGCCGCCAGCGTTGCTCGTCATGGCACGCCTGTTCTATAAAGTCGCCGTCCCCACGTGGGGCGTGACGCTGTCGGGCGTCCGATCGGACCTTTGCCTTTGGATGAGGCTTCCAGGGTGTGCAAGGAGTCCCCCTTGATAAAGTGGATGAGGAACCCATAAACTCTTGGATAAGAAGCCTCGGAGGAGGGAAGGGTAACGGTACCGCTGCGGTGAGGGCATTGGACAAAGGACCTCCCCGATCGGTGAGGACTAGGCTGAAGAGCCCACAGAGGCATTGGTGCGGATCAGGCTGAGCAGCCCCTGGGGGGCGTAAACTACCTGCGTTTCGCACACGAAAAACACCATCATCCATGTAGGCTTGATTGTCCTTCCGCTCGAGGAAAAGGACTCCAGGGTCTGGCTGGATAGGCACCGCCACCACGAGGGCCAGGGACAACCTAGGCTTCGTAGGAGTGCCCTTCTGTTCTTCGCCGCTGGTGAACGTTTCCTTATTCGGCGATTCGACACCGGGCGGAAGGGGGAGGAATGAGGGTGGGGCTGGCTCTGCACATCTGCTCAACGCGACTGTTTGCAGCAGTGCGTCCCATGGGGGAAAGACCCCACATGCTTAAAACAAACCGCCCAAGACAGCAAAGATCTACTCCAAGGGGTGGGGGAGGGCAAGGCAAGGAAAATGAACGCCTGAGTCCGCCGGGGGGCGGGGCCTGGAAGGCCGGCGCGGGCGGGCGGGGGCCCTCAACTGCAGGCGTAAAGCTTGTGGTCATTTCTGCGTGTGGCGTAGGAGTGCTTGTTCCAAATTCATTCATTGAGTGTTGTCTGGTGCTAGTGTAAACCATCGGCGAGGGGGTTGCGATGACCCGCGGCGATCGGCCAAACAACAAATAAGAAAACAATCTCCTGGGGCCCCCATACCTCAAGATGTTTGGTCGTTCTTGGCCTCTCCAAGGGGCCTCCACCTTCGGCGAAAGATCTCGCGCTTTCGACCCACGCTCTGGTGATCCTGCTCTGAATCTACCGCTACCCTCCCGTCGTCGCCACGGCAAGAATCGCCTCGGAAAGTTTGTCAGAACGCAGCCCCAGATATATTTGGACTGCTACGTACCCCTCGGTCGCAACCACGGCTGGAATCGCCTCGCAATCTGAATCAGAACGCACTCTGGGAGAGGACTGGGCCGCAGTAGATGGGGGGCGATAAAAGGGGTCAGCGAGGGTTGCAGAGAATGGGCCCTTCAGGGCCCCTGAAAAGGGCCCTTCCGGGCCCAGAAGGGAGCTTTTAAGGCCCGAGAAATGTACTTTATTCCCCCACACCATGCATCGCCCCCCCCCAGCAAATGACGCCCAAGAGGACTGGAGTAGTAGTGTCGGTACTTGTTCGCCCTCCATTCTGTCATGGCAGAGTTGGCATAAACAGCACGGATCAGGTCTGTTGGCCCTGTGACCAAGGGGGCTCTAGGTTAAGACCCCAAAGGCCTGAGTTTACAGAAAGAAGATAATCCAAGGTTTTCATCGCATAGCGTTTTCCAATGTTGCCACATACCATCACACTATCTTCGGCGCATGCCATCGCATATCGTTGTTCAATGTTGTTCTTTTGCGCACGCGCACATCGCCAGCGCTGGAAGTTGCATGGGGCGAACTCGCGTTTCCCAGAAACCGTAAAGAACTATTGAGAACATGATGATAAGAGGAGTAGCTGGAGGAGGCTGAGGAAGGGGGAAAGAAACGACGAGGACAAAGTGGTTGTTGCCTTGGCTACCCCTCGCGTGGAACCGCGCAAACGGCAGATGTCTTAAACTCACGCGTACAACGCATGGGGGGGGCAGCGGAAAACGCCGAAATGCGTTGCAGATGTTTGGGAAGCCATTCCGACAAAGCATGCAACTCAATTTGTCTATTACGGCCCAAAGCGTGCTAGCGGGACAACGTCTAGAAGGGGCACGCTAGGAATCGCGCCCCAGTTTTCCGATCAGAAGATCAGATGTTGAGCCGTCTCTTCACGCTCGGCAGTACACTGAGCTCAAAGGCTGACGGTGAAACGTGACGACAGCACCCCTTGAAAGTCTTGCTGAAGGCTTCGTCCTTCCACGCTGCGTAGAAACGTGGTTTACCGGAAACTGGCATCTTGCGAAGCATGTGCAAAGTCAAATGCCTCTTGGGCAGCAGCAGTTCTGCGGAATCTTCCGCCGACGCAAGAGAACGAATGTAGTGACCCCAACAAGCGCCCTGAGTCGTGAGCAGCACCCGAAATTTGAATGCCACTGGCGTCGAACACATCAGCCATCCCCTTCAGGGCAGCCGCTTCATCTAAAAGCCAAGTCCCCTCGTGACCGATCTTCCACATGTGATGCGGCAGGTCGTCTACAAGGAGACACAACAAACCCCATGGTTCAGCCCCTTTGGTTTTAAGCCGCTGGTCGATCCGATCGCCCACGCTTTTGTTTGGTAGTGTCAGAAATCCGAGTCATGTTCTCGGTGGGATAATATTTGGCCCGCTGCTTGTACCACGCAGACAGTGAATTGCAAAACGACAGCAGCGCAATCTCGGCAACTTCGTCTCGGGCACCATGGCCACCCAACGCGCCGTTGAGGATGCGCTTCCAGACAATCAACTCGCAGAACGAGTGAAACACCCCGAGATATAATGAGCGGAGAGAATCAGGCGTCAATGTTCGCCAAACAGTTATCCCGAGCTCCTCGCTGAGCATCGGATTCCCGTGGCGCGTTAGAGTCTCCCTGGAAGCGCGGCAAACAATAATGCGCTTGGGAGCGGGCAAGTCGAGCCCTTCGAATGTACCAGCGTCTGGCAAGCCACGGCAAGGCTCAAGTCGGTCGTCCCGCAGAAGCCCCAGCAGAAGCAATGGGTTGCCTAATGATTGACCACGGCTACATGAATGTCTTTTATCGTGCCGCAACTTGCCCGTGTCGAGTATAAGTCGCCTGACATCTGGTGCAAGGGCAATCTCAAACTCGCACCCCGCGCAGGCCTCGTCGCACTCGTTATCGCGATTTTCTCTGCGAAGGAAGTGCGCCCTAGATGCGCCGGCAAAGCGGTGCGTCCCAGCGCCGCTATACCACGGGCGGACAGCATCCCCCCATATCGGCAAGCACATCGAGCTTGCGCGTTCGGCCCAGTCGCCCTTGATGAAGACGACTCGCGGCCTCATCGAGAGCTCGTCGCCCGACCTCTCCCGCCTGCGGCGATCGGACTCGGCCCAGGCTGCGCCATCGTGCCGAGCCACTCATTGGGCACAGCTTCTCCGCCATGGCCTGGAAGGTCCACCGCAGGGACAAAAAGGCGACAGTGAGCGCGGGCCTCTGCAGCCGCATCGGCAGATATGCTACGCGCGAAGGACTGTCACGGGGCACCTGGCCCCATCCACGAAACTCTCAATCCACGCACCGAGGACGCTGCCAGTGTGCGAGTAGGGAACGCCATCAAGGTATAAACACAAGGGCCGGACGCGGTCGTCGCGAGTGCCATGCCGTTGCACGATGGGATTCTGGAAATCGATTGTCAATGGCCTCTACTGGAGACGTCCTGCACACCGAAGCTGCGCCGGCGTCAAGCTGTTCGCGCGGCGCAAACATTGACACTTGCCGCGCGGTGCGCGACAATGAACCTGTATCAAAACACGGCATGCTGACCATATGCAGCTGCTGTCGGTCTTCATTTCTTCCGATGTGGACGTTGATTTTTCGTTGCTGGTTGCCGCTATGGTCGCCTGGCCTCACGCCTAAATCCGCAGCCCGTGGAATTCCAGCCCTCCCAGCGCAATGCATCAGGCCGAAAAACTGGATCGCATTCAACTCGCGAGCAAGCAACAGGTCGGCGCAGAACTCTACGAAGTCACCGGCAGCGTCGCCATCGGACTCGCAATCGGAGTCCAATGGCTCATCGGAGTCGAATGGAAATGCACCGGCTTCCGCTCCGTCCAACATCTCCCCCCGCGAATGCACCCTCGGCGACGCGGGAGCCCCTTCGTCCGGATGCGCTCTCGGCCTCCGCTCCGCCCAACATCCCCCCCCATGAACTGCCGCGCGCATAGAGCCAGGGCCGGCGAGCAAACTTGCGAGCAAAGATCGGTTTGAGCCGAAGCGGTTGCGGATGAGCGGGGCCGTTCACCTCGCGACGACATCGGGGGGCCCGCGAGGGTTGCATGGGCCCCCCGAAATGGCCTCGAGACGAACGTGTGACGGTCACCATGCGGCACCGACAGGACTCCATATGCGCCCCAAAGAATGGGCCGCGCGGCGGGTCGCGGGGCGGGTCTCGAGCGGGCCGCGGGGGGGGGCGACGACAACAAACAACAACGCTACAAACAACGACAACAAAGATATCACGAACGCCAACAACAACGTCAACAACAAAACCAAGAACAACAACACCAAGACCACCAACCACAACAACACCAACAACAACAGCAACACCAACAGCAACAGCAACAACAACAACGACGCAGCAAACATAATCCTCACCACAAGTCCTCACTTCATCCACGCACCCAGGGGCAATGCATGACCGTCCGGCCCCCTCACTCTGACTGGGAATGAGAGCCCTGGGACGGCGCCCGCAAATCAGCTTCCAGTGGGCTTTGTGGGCCATATAGAATCCGTTCAACATTCAGATCCCAGACCCCCGACGTTCATGAATCGCTCCTGGTTAGCATTCAATGCTTGCGCGTCTAGGTTGGTGGATGTGTGTGGGTCCGCCGTAAAACCGATGGCAGACGGAGCGCGTTAAATCACGTGGTTTCCCGCCCGCGCAGGAGTTGCCGAGTGCTCTGGGCCAAAGTGGAAGGGTTCATAATTTGACCATGCCGACGATATCGTGTAGATTCGCCACCGTGGTGGTTTATCGCCGCACGGCCACTTCAGCCCCCCCCCCGCGGTGACGTCGGGGCCTCCTGGGCACAGACTTCGCGACACCTCGCGCGCCTGGGACGGCCCGCGCCGCGACCCGCCCGCGACCGACCCCGCGACCGACCCCGCGACCCGCCCGCGCCCCCCCCCCCGCGACCCATCCGCGAATCACCCGCAAACCACCCGCGACCCATGCGCGACCCACCCGCCACCCACCCCGCGACCCACGCGCGACCCACCCGCGGCGGGCTTCTCCAAAGCCTCGCAGACTGCCCGCGCCCCGGCCGCATCCGCATCTGCGGTGTGCTACGCATTTTTCGTGGTCGTGCTCCCACCCTTACTCTTACGCGTGCCCGCACTGTTACTCTTACGTTTTGCCGAATGGGGCTTAGGGCAGCGAAACAAATGCGCGCCTCTACCCTCCTCGGGGCGTCCTGCGCAGCGGCCGCCCGAGCTGCGCCCCCCGCTCCACCGCCCAATCCCTCCTTCGCCCCCTCCTCTCGCCAAGCGCGCGCGGGCGGCGGGGTGCCCTGCAGGGCGCCGAACGCGTCGCGCGCGCGCGCCCGCCGTCTGCCCCCCCCCCCCCCCCGCGACAGCGCGCGCCCAAAACCGCAAACGCGAGAGGGCGGGGGGGCGAGGGGAGCACAGCGGAGCCCACGGGGAAAGAGAAAAACGATTACGCTGTTCAGGGCCCCCTCGCCCTTGCCTCGAACCCCCCTGGCCGTCGCCCTCCCTGCCCTGGGCGCGGGGGCCAGGGCTGCCCAGGATGCTCTCAGCAGTTAGGGGGGGGGAGGGATAAACGGAGGAGAAAAGCGGGATAGACGAAGGAGAAGGGAGGAGGGAAGACTACGAGGAGATGTAGCGTCGTGCCTTCATCGCGCGTTCAGGTTTGCGCTGCCCGTTGCCCGCAGGCGATTCAGCGTCACCCCGGCCAATCTCTGTTCAGAGCACCCCTCAAGAAGCTAAAGCAAACTTTACTTCAGATGCATCGAGCGCCACGGAACTCACAATCCAGACTGAGATGCCACTCAACCGCGCCTACCACTGCTGGCACAAAGCCCTTCTCTAAGGTTTGGGCCGCGCCCCCCGCGCCGGTGGCCGCGTCGGAGCGCATCGAGCAACATCCACTTCGATCGTCGTGCGAATCGCGCGTGCATGAAGATTTCGGCCGTCCGACTCCAGATTTTGAAAACCACCCAAAGTCATTTGAAAAGTCACCCAGGTGACTTTCGAGGTGACTTTGCGAATGAGCCCCAAACCCTGATGCACGTCACACTTTGGGGCGGAAATCACCTCCAAAGTCACCCATTATCACCTCGACAATCACCTCCGGGGGCCGGCGCAAAACATCTAACAATGCAAACAAGCTGACACCGGGGTCGGGGCCGATTTTTTTGCAACATCCAGGCTCCGCGTCCCAAAAGTAAGTCAAACTGTTGAGAGGCGTCGCGGCCGCGCGACTCGAGCGCAAATCTCCACGCGAAGACTGAAACACGGCGCCCTGGCAGGCGTCGACCGCAAACAAGCGTCGGCGGTGGAAGACGAAAGAGAACGAGGGGACGTGATGACTCGGACCCAAGGCGGATCCGATTTCCTGCCGCTTGGCCTCGAGCTTCTTGACGGCGTCTCTCATGCTGGCGAACGCGCCCAAGGAACTCACCGACGCACCCAGTCTTGCCATCAGCGACGCTGTCGACCTCGCTGCCCCGAGCCCACCCATGCACGTCCGCGGTCTCGATGTGCTTGATGCGGAGTTTGGCGCCCTGCGCCGCTTTGAGGTAGACGGGCGTGAGCTTGCCGGCACTCGACAACAGCGCGGTCGTCTTCAGAAACCGAACCGGCCAAGCAAAACCGACCCGGCTGCAGAACCGGACCGAGCCGATCCCTTCATGTATTCTGCGCCTTGGCGGTGTCCTCTGCCGCAATGACTTCAGCCTCCGCCTTCCGCTTCGGTGCGCGCATCGGTTTCGCCATCGGCAAACCGGCGCCGTTCGTCGCTGCCGCGCCACTGCCAGCGGCAGCAGTCTCAGCGACCACGTTCGCAAGGGCGTGGGCCGCGTCGGCGTCGACCGCCTCGCTGGCGAGCAGCGCCGCCTCGCTGGCGCATCTCTGGGCATCGGGCGCGCTGATCGAGCGAGTGATCTCGCTCCACGCTCTGCGGAACTCCTCCTCATCCTCGCGGTCGATCCTGCGGTGCATCATGAGCTCCGACAACTCGTCTCGCTAGCGCTACTTCCCCCCCCCCCTCCCCCGCGCACTTGGCCGCCGTCCACTTGGCGCCCTCCACAGCCGCAGGCCACTCCCAGCCGCCGTGGCCGACGGCTAATGATCAGAATGTCTCCATCTTGGCCTTGTTGCGGTCGGCCTTGCTCAGCTCCTGGGCGCGCGAATTCGACCCCTGGATCTTCGCTGGCTCCAGCTTGGCCAAGTTACTCTAGAACGCCTGCTTCTGCGTCGGGTTTCCCTTAGCGCGCTCGGCGCGCGGCGGGCGCCCGGCGGCGTGAGCTTTGCGAGGCGCGCTGTCGAGGTCTGCCATCGGTGCGATGTGCCCAACTGCGGTGACTTCCCGCAGGCGCCTCTCCCTGTTGTCGGGGGGCGGGCGCTCCTTGTCAGCAGGGCCAGCTTGGGCGGGGCAACGATCGAACGCTGACTCGAGGTCGCGGAAGCTGCCCGCGTTGACATTGCATTGCTGGGCCTTGGCCATGAGCGCGGATGTCTGACGGGTCGTTGACGTCGATCGCCTTCCGAGGCAGCTCTGGACTGTCGTGGCTCGGGAGTCCGACGTCCAGCAGCTGCCCCGCTGCGTCCTCGGCCGCGAGCGGGCTCGGGTGGCGCGGCCACTCGGCGCCGACGGCGCTGGCTGCTTGGGGCGAGGTGCCATGGGCATCGGCGGCCGCTGCCTCCGCCCATCGGTTCGTCCTTGACGATTGGCTCCGCGGTCGACGGCGCCGCGTCTCAGCGAGGTAACGCCTCCGAAATCTGATGCTCGATCGCTGCCAACCGCTCGTGATAAAGCCAAAACGGCTGCAGAGTGAGATGGGCCGCCCCTCTGCGGCGCAATCCAGCTCCTGGCGATGGTGGGGGGGGGGTGGGCGATGCGTGGAGGGTGGGCGATTGGCGCAGCGCGCTGCCGATGCGGGCGCGAGCGGCGGCGAGGGCGGGGGGGGGGGCGGCGGGGGCGTCGGCGGTCTGCGAGACTCTGGAGAAGCCCGCCGCGGGCGCCAAAGTTTCACAACATATAAAACGAGCCCGCCGCAGACGCCGATTCTGTGGATCGGTCGCAAATCGGTCGCGGGCGCGGCGCGGGTGGGTCGCGGATGGGTCGCGGGGTCGGTCGCGGGTGGGTCGCGGGGTGGGTCGCTGGGTGGGTCGCGGGCGGGTCGCAGGTGGGTCGCGGGGTGGGCCGCGGGTGGGTCGCGGGTCGGGTCGCGGGCGGGTCGCGGGGCGCGTCGCGGGGTGGGTCGCGGGGGGGGGGGGGGGGGGGGCGACGACAACGAGCGACGGCAACGCCGCCGCCAACAACGCCAACAACGACAACAACAACATCACCACCGAAAAACAACAACACCAACAACACAACCAACTACAACACCATCGGCAACACCAGCACCACCAGCAACAACACCAACGACGACAGCACCGACAACGACATAACAAGCATAACCCTCACCACATACTCTCACTTCAGCCCCGCGCCCAAGGGCAATGAAATACTCACGCACCCTCACTCTGATAATGCGTTGTGCTAGGGTATACTCCCTTTCGCACTCTCTCGACGCATGGGGGCGCACGTTTGATATACTACGCTGTGTCGGTCGCACGGGCATCTCGGGACTAGGTGCGCTGTCGGCCAGCCTAAGCACGACGTCAATATGGCTCCGAAATCTCACCGCCAGGCGGCAAGTTGCGTAGCGCCTGCGCAGCCTCCTCCTCCGCAAGGTCGGGGATCGGCACAATCAAAAACATCGGTGGGCACCACTTTGGCCTCGCGCATGATGCGCCCATGTCGTGCTGGTTGGCCTTGGCCTTGGCCTTCGGCTGCGGATCGGCGCTGCCCGAGGCCGAGGGGCCCGTCGTCGCGGCGCTTGCAGGAACGGGTGGATTGCACGCCAGTCCGCGGCCCCGTGCAGACGGAGCTGGAGGTCCGACGTGACCAACGTTCTTGCCGTTCTCGATGTGCTTGTCGATCTTCGCCATGGAGGTCTTTATCAGCAGCGCCTGGTGGCGCCTGGGCCGCAGCAACTGGGCGCTTTGTCGGCGGCGTTGCCGGTAGGCCCTTATCCTTCTCGGCTTGAGTCTTGAGTGTCCTGAGCTCGGCCTTGTCCTCCACCTTGTCTAACTGCCACATATGACAGAACGGCATCAGGAACTCCACTGCCTTCGCCAGGGTGGGATTGTCGTCGGGCACGGCTGCGGGCTGCGGCATCGGCAACTCCCCGTACTTGTAGACAGCAACTTGCAAGATCTGGGCTCCTTGGTCGTCCAGGGACAGGAACAGCAAGCGGTCGGTGCGCTGCTGGAGTTCCAAATTGTTGAGTGGCTGAAAGCTGGCCACTCCAACGTGGTTCGCTGCTACGGCCTCTCCGCTCCCCGCCACCCTGGGCGACAAACTCCGCCGCAATGATCGCGAACGCGTGCGTCGTACCATCTCTCCAAACTGCCTGAACGTGGTCCGATGGATCTGCGCCGTCAGCTAAGTTGATCGGGAGACACATCTCGACCTTGCCCTTGTTCTGGCCCCCGCCCACCCTTGTGCCGGCCATGAGCTCGATCGACCATTCGAACTTCCACTCAGTCTTGGCCTCGTCGGTCTTGGCCTCGCCAGCCGCGGGAGCTCCGTCGTCGACGCACTCGTCGACCTTTCGGGGGTCCTCCTCCTCAGCGTCCTCCTCGTCGTCGTCGTGCTCGTCGAGCTCGTCGTCGCCGCCTTTTCCACCGCCTCGCCCTGCACGTCGAGGAGCTTGGCGGACCACGCCCGTTTCGCCCTCCCTGCTTTGGCGGCGCGACCGACATGGTTGAACACTCTGTCGGACACTGTCGCCGCCCATTTTTCCTCGGCCCGGCATCGGTCATCACCCGACTTATCTGATTGATCATCGTGCCAACGATCTTTGTGAACGACTTTGTGGCATCAGACTTCCTCAGGGCCAAGCTTGGGTGGGCCTCTTGGATGCTATACAGAAAACAGGCGTGCTTCTTGATCTTATACTTGTCGAATTCTGCCTGGCTCATTTTCGGTGTCTCGGAGTACCTGACAAAACTTTGCCTGTATTCATTGCACTGATGCCTCAAGATTCCATCCAAAACATTTGAGTGGTAACGCTGCCTTCGCGTGATGGCGGCGTCTATCGCCGCGTCGTCACCTGCGTATGAAACATGCCCGAACGAACAACTGCTGAGCCCAAACGGCTACGGAAAACACGGCACGCCACGGCGACACGAGCACGCCGTCATAATGACGTTCGCGGCACGGCACCACAATGCATTGCCAAAACCAGGCACAGGCAGAGCACGGCGCGACATAGCAAATACAAGCAGCATGGCACGGCATCACATGCCATAGCACGGCACGGTGCCCACGGCCCAAACTGAATTTCAGTGCGCTGTGGGTTCAGAGGGTCCCAGTAAGAGAAAAGGCGGACTCACCGGGGGCACTCAATCTAAAACGCTCAGGGGCGAACGATGGTAACGACCGAGAAATGAAGGCGCGATCCCGACCGAGAACGCTAACATATCCATTGCCATACACATAATATCTTCAACATGTATTCGGACATCTCTGAGATACCCATACCCAGCGCACGAAGGGCAAAACCACAAACTTTACTTCAAGAGCTACACCTTCGAGCCCCACTTTGAGGCTTGAGGAGTCACTGGGGGTCGGCCTGGCCCCCCCCCCCCCCCGCAACGCAACGCCTCCCACGCCGGCCCGGGCGCGCTCTTCGCGCGCCAGGGACGGGGGTCCAACGCCGACCCTCTGTCGGCGAGGGGCGGCGAGGTGGAGGAGGGCGGAGGGGGAGAGGGAGGGGGGGGGAGGAGGAGGAGGAGGAGGAGGAGGAGGAGGAGGAGGGAGGAGGGGAGGGAGGAGAGGAGGAGGAGGAGGAGGAGGAGGAGGCCTGCGCGGACCTCTGTCGGCGGCGAGCGGGTGAGGAGGGGAGTGCCCTCTCGGAGGGCGGCGGGGCCTCTCGGCGGCCCCCCGCGCCCTCCGGGAACCTGCTCCGCGCCTGCGGGCAGGGCCCTCCCTCCCTCCTCCCTCCTCCCTCCTCCCTCCTCCCTCCCTCCCTCCTCCCTCCTCCTCCCTCTCCCTCCTCCCTCCTCCTGCTCCTCCTCCTCCTCGGGCCCTCTCCCTCGCACCCGCCCCCCCCCCCCCACGGGCACGCCGCCGAGCCACGGGCGGCGAACGTCTCCGTCCTCGGGCCCCTGCTGTCGAGACTCGTCGCACGAGCCCGCGGGCGCGCGGTGGCACGGGTGCGCTCCGCGCGGGGCAGCGGCAAGACACGCCCCGCATCCACGGGGTCGCAGCCCGGGGGCCCGGCCCGCGAGGCCGCAGGTGCGGATATGTTTCCCCTCGCTTCCCGCTCGAGCTTCGTGCTTATGTTTAGTTTAGGCCGGGCCATGTCCTCCTACAGGGGGATGTTGGACGAAACACGAAATAATTGCCAAACGATGCGCCGAAGTGGTCAAGCATGGTCCAGAAATCGCCCCCAGACAATTGTTTGCCAATTTTTGAACACTCCCCCTGCAGAGGGACGGGCCCGACTTGAGCTCGTGCCGCTTCTGCTTCTCCGAGCTCCTCCTCCCCCTCCTCCTCCTCCTCCTCGTCGTCCTCCTCCTCCTCGTCTTCCTCCTCCTCCTCGTCCTGCTCCTCATCCTCCTCCTCCTCCTCCTCGTCCTCCTCCTCCTCGTCTTCCTCCTCCTCCTCCTCCTCCTCCTCCTCCTCGTCTTCCTCCTCCTCGTCTTCCTCCTCCTCCTCCTCCTCCTCTTCCTCCTCCTCCTCCTCCTCCTCCTCCTCCTCTGTCTCCGTCTCCTCGGTCTGCTCCAGCGCGTCCCCGTCGAAGACCTCGACGATCGGGAGCAGCTGCGGGACGAGGCCCGCGGACGGCGGGCGGAGCGGCTCCTGCGCGGCCGCGGTCTTCCGCAGGTGCTCCCTGGTCTTCCTCACCGGGAGCGGCCAAGGATGGGGGGTGTCCAAGAGGGGGGGGGGTGCAAATCATGACCGGCGGCATGTGCGCGGCCCAGCGGGGAGGCCAGTTACGCAATGGGATAGGAAGAAGAGGCGCCAAGAGATCTGGGGAAATATCATGGCCCCCGCCAGGATATCCCCCCCCCTAGTCATCACCCCCCTCTTTTCCGCCCCCGACCTCAGGGACTGCGCCTTCCGCGCCATGGCCCTGGCCTTGTCTTGAGCCGGGCCCGTCCTCCTACAGGCGGGTTTGAGGAGCAAACTCAAAAAATAATCAAAAAATAAGATTCAAAAATAGTCCAGCAAATACTCCAAAAAACGTCCCCCGACTATTTTTTTCTTTTAGAGCTATGTTTGCACATTCCTCCTGTAGAGGGGCACGCCCGACTTAAGCCTTGTCGTCCGGGTCGGCCGCCGCAGCCGGCTGCCCTTGCGACTGGCGGGCCGCCATCGTGAGGGCCCTGCGCAGCTCCCGCTGGTAGTCGGCCTTCAGCTGGGAGACGAAGCTGTGCACCGAGGACGCGATGATGCCAGCGAAGGGGTCCCCGTCATCGTCCACGGCCATCGCCTCTCGTGCGGGGGCGAGGGCGAGGAGGGCGAGGAAGAGATCTCCGAAGGTCGGTCCCCAGAGGTCCCAAGAGGCCATCGGAGGCCGCATGACGCATCCCCAGAGAGCAAAACATGCTCAAACGCCCTGGTCCTCCTTCATCCCTGGGGTGGGGCGAGGGGGGGGATTTCTGAGAACAGGCCAGAAGCTTCTAAGAAGCCGTTTCAAAAGGGTCCAAAACATACTGAGAGGCCCCTGGGCCTCTCAAAAGGCTGCCCACTCGCCATGCCCTACAAAAATCCGTTCAAACCGGCCCCCCAAACCCGTCCTGGTGGAAAGGCTTCGGGTTCCTGTTGCGCGCAGACAGCCCCCCCAGGTGGTCCCAGGCGACCTCCACAGGTTTTTGATTAGTGCAGGGCTGCCTCTAGCACCCCAACCCTGCGGAGCGCCCCAGGGGCGCCGCTGGAAGCGGCGCCAGGGTGTTGAGACAGCCTGTGAATGTCCTCGACAGTGCTCTGGGCTGCGCCTACTCGTGGCGACGAGAAACTCTGGGGACGCCCACAGTCGGGAGCGGCTAAGAGGGGGGTGCCCAAGAAGGGGGGTGCAAATCATGACCGGCGGCATGTGCGCGGCTCAGCGGGGGGACCAGGGACGTGATGAAACAAGAAGAGGCGTCATGAAATCTAGGGAAATATCACGGCCCCCCTCGCTATGAGATCCCCCCCCCAACTAGTCACCACCCCCCTCTTTGCCGCCCCCGACACAGCACTCTCAGAGCAGCGACGCCGACGCCGAGGGTCGTTGGTCGTGGGCGAACAACACAGATCGTATCCGTAGCTGCGGCCTGCGCGGGCGGGGCCCCCTGGGCCGCGCCCCCAGGCGGACACCGGGCGTTTGCTGCTCGCGGATGCCCCGCGCTGGACGACGCATCTGTGCGACCGCGTGTCCGCGGGATCGCGCCCTGGCACCAGGATCCGCGGGGGTGCGAATAATTACGGATGCCCGTCGGTCGGAAGGAGCGGGTGCAGAAACAGAAAGCAGCAGGGCATCAGAAGTGGCTGGGGCCTCCGCTTGCCCCCTCGAGGAGGAAGGAGAAGGAAAAAACACTCGACGATTGGAAAAGGAAGGCGCCTGATCTGGGAATCCAGAAATACCGACTTTCAGCAACTGACGGGTACAATCGGACCTGTGACAGGAAAACATCCTTCAAGAACGCGAGACCCTTCAGATCACTCGAAGGGTGCCCTCCCCAGGATGCACAAACACACGTCCCACACGCACGAAGAGCACCAGAGCACCCTCCACGAACCGACCTCGATCTTATACCTCGGCCCGACTGCACGTTCAAGGATCGACGGGCCCAGACCCCCGACGTCATGATCTTTCCAGAACGTCGACCCCCAGAGGTCTCGACCCCTTCCCCAGGACCTTTTTTAGTCGTCCTGAGTGGTTTTGTTGACTGCGACTTCGACTTGCCTTTCGACTTGCGTGAGTTCCGCGCCCCCCCGAACGTGCAAGTCGTTTGCGGCTTGCTTCAGGCTCAGCCCCCCCCCGTCCATGCAAGTAAACCTGCCAGAGTCTAAAAAGAGGCTCTGAGAGGGCCACATGCGAACCCTACCCCTATACCCCCCACGAATTTCTGAGGGGGAGGGTGGGGTTCCCACCGCTCGGAGGCTCCCGAGCGAAGGGAACCCCTCCCCCCCCCTCGGAACTCGTGGGGGGGATAAGGGGTAGGGTGCGCATGTGGCCCCCCATGCAAGACCGGTGCACACGCCTGCCGGGGCCGGGCCGGCAGGACGCGCGCACCGGGCCCCGGTCCTGCTAGGAGTGGGTCGGGCATGTCGCCCCACGGGCAGATCCTGGAGGAAGGACAAAAGAAATAGTCAAAACAAATTCAAAACTGGTCAAAGCATCATCGAAAAATCGTCCCCTGACTATTTTTTGACCACTTTTGAATACGGTGAGGGCATTGGATGAAGAACCCTTCGAGAAGGAATCCCGGGTCCGGAAGCCGGTGAACCTCCGATCGTGGACCGGCCATGGATGACGCTGCCGCCCTCTTCGGATGAGGGATCCCCCAGGGCCTGAGGCCTCCTGGGCCCACTCCTGGGCCTGAAGCCTCCTGGACCAATACTTTGGGGGAAGAATTAAGAATGCCCTGGGCCTGAAGCTTCCTGGGCCCACTCCTGGGCCTGAAGCCTCCTGGGCCCACATTTTGGAAGAATTGAAAAAAAACAAAAAGCCTGGGCCTGAAGCCTCCTGGGCCTGAGGCCTCCCGAGCCCACTCCTGGGCCTGAGGCCTCCCGGGCCCACACTTCGACGCCTCACACGAGTGCCCCCGCCGTGTGCCGCCTGCTGGGGGCACGTGCCCGACGCTGCCTCCCGGGGGAGGGGGGCATACGGCGGGGACAATTTCCCCCCGCGAGGGTCGGGCGCCGGCCGCTCGTGCGGCCGCGGGGGCGTGGGCGCCGCCGGCTTGCAGGGGACGACGACGACGACGACGACGACGACGAGGGACGACGACGAGGACGACGACGACGAGGGACGACGACGAGGGTCACGACGACGAGGACGACGACGGACGAGGGACGACGACGACGAGGGACGACGACGACGAGGGACGACGACGACGAGGGACGACGAGGGACGACGACGACGACGAGGGATGACGACGACGACGACGACGAGGGACGACGACGACGAGGGACGATGACGACGAGGGACGACGAAGGAGACGACGAGGGACGACGACGACGTTGACGACGACGACGACGAGGGACGACGCCGAGGGACGACGGCGAGGGCGACGAGGACGACCGCGCCGCGGCCTCCCGAGGACCAGGCAAGACGAAGCCAGGACGAAGACAACGTCGGGCGAGGGGAAGTCGAGAATCTCTGAGATCCGGGGGCTGCGCGGGTGTCCCGGGCGCCGCGGCCTCCTCAAAAGCGTTCTGGAACGCCCTGAGAGCGTTCCGGGAAGCCCTGGTACGGATCTCTCCTCGTCCTAGCCCCCCCCCCCGACCAGGACATCCAACATCCTTCGAAATGGATGTTTTTCCAGGCGGCCGCACGAGAAACACTGCCCTGCAGCACTTCCGGGACAAATCAGGACAGGTGCTCCACAGGCATGCGCAGCACCCCGCATCGACCCGGCCAAAGACTCGAATCCTGCATTGCAGCAGCAGAAAAACATGCACTGGACGACCACACCTGCCATTGTCCTGGTTAGTTGTTAGTCTGTGTCCTGGTCTCCAGCGCCGTGGCAGCTTCAGGGGTCCATTAACCCGAATCAATGCAAGCCCAGGTCAGTCAGGCCTTATAATAGGATCCTGCAGCATCCTGCGCGCTTGCCCAGGCCCCATGCGCCCCTGGCTCGGCAGGATCCTGCCAGGCCTGGCGGAACCATGTTCGCATGAACCCCCGTCTCTAGCAGCTCGACGCTCGTCAGTGTCCTCGTCTCCGCCGCCGTGACAGCTTTGGGCGTCAGTTTCTGGGAGGGCGAAAGTGGGGGGGCGGAAGACAGGTGCACTTTTCGGGCCCTGAAGGCCCCCTCTTTGGCCTTGAAGGGGCCCTCTAGGGGCCCCCTTCTCTGCGGCCGTCGCTGCCCCCCATTGCGTCGCCCTCCCATTACCCGGGCCGGGCGAAAGGGGGGGATAGCAAAGGAGGGGTTTGAGAATCAGCTCACGTAGGTGATTTTCCCGGCGCCTCCCGGCGCCGGGAGGCGCCCATGCATCGAGGAATGGGCCCCTCGGTGGGGCCGAAACCAGCTGCATGCAGCAGATTTCGTAACCCCCCCTTTCCCAATCCCCCCCTTGTGTCGGGGATGGACAGACCTCCCTTTAGTAAAACGTGGTTTAGTGAAAACGACCTGAGGCCCAAACCTGGCGGGCGCAGGCCTGGAAAATAACGGCCACGGCGCCCTCTCGAGAACCGAAAACGGACAATTCACTAATCGACGTGTCACTGTTGGGGGTTTTGTCCACCCCCGATTGTGTCGCCCTCCCATTACGCGACACCCACGACAGCTCTCGCCCGGGAGGCCTCTGGGCGCGTGGCGCGCGCGGGCGCTGCGGGGCAGGGGGAGGGGGGCGCGCCCCAGGGCCTCTGGGGGGCGCCCGGCGCAGCGCCCGCCACTCACCGGGGGAGGCCGCGCCCCGGCGGGAGGCGGGTCGAGAGCCCGCGCGGCCTGAGCCTCTGGATGGCCACGCAGGGTGCCCCTCCTCCTCCTCCTCCTCCTCCTCCTCCTCCGCCTCCTCCTCCTCCTCCTCCGCCTCCTCCTCCTCCTCCTCCTCCGCCTCCTCCTCCTCCTCCGCCTCCTCCTCCTCCTCCTCCTCCGGCATCTGTGCCACTGGGACCCCTCCCCAGGAAAACAAGCGGGTAGCGTTGCGATCGTCGCCCCAGGTGTTCCTTCGGGACCCTGGGGGAGAGAAAAAAGGTAGTCGTAGGCCGTCCCAGCCTGCGCCACGGGGGAAGCGTCGTGCCTGGGACCTCGGGGCTGTTCCCGACTCGCCCGTGCGGCGGGCGGAGATAGGCGAATGTTCCAGGGCACGGCCTTTCCTCCCGTGTCCTTTTGCTACGACACCCTTGCGGTGGCCCCCCACATGGTACTCCGCCAGGGCTCGTCGGGCGGTGTCGCGGGTCCCCTGTGCGGGGGGGGGTTCATTGGAGGATCCCCGCCCATTCCTCCCACGGTCACGGTCCCCCGCCGTGGCGTGCGTGGGGGCGGGTTGTCCCCGAGGGAATGGTGCCCCTCGGGTGGCTTATTGGGGCGGCACGGCCGAGAGTGGCGCGTCATTACGTGAGGCCTCGAAATCGTTAGAACGTTTTTAGCTACGCTGCGTTATTTTTGATTTTGCCGCCTCGCACTGGTCGCGCGCATCGGCTCTAGACGCCTGCAGCCCCGCGCGTCTGCCGCGTTTCGCGGCGCTGCTGCCTTTTGTGGCGCGCGCCGCCTTTTGTGCGTTTCGCCGCAGTAAGCCTCCTATGGGAACTCGCGCCGACTCCAACCGTGATGGTCCTCACGGTTGGCCTAGGGCGGCGGGGACATTGACTCGTCCGCTCCTGGGTTGCTCCACTCCACTCCACTCCTACTCCTCCTCTTCCTCCTGCTCCTCCTCCTCATCCTCTTCCTCCTCCTCCTCCTCGTTGTTGTTGTAATATTATTCGTGTGTTGTTATGATTATAGTTATTCCTCTGATTCTTCTGGTTATCATCAGCATTATCGTGTTCTTCATTATCCGTATTATTATTATTATTATTAATAATAATATTACTACTAGTTTGATTAGTAGTAGTAGTAGTAGTAGTAGTAGTAGTAGTAGTAGTGTAGTAGTAGTAGTAGTAGTAGTAGTAGTAGTAGTAGTAGTAGTAGTAGTAGTAGTAGTAGTAGTAGTAGTAGTAGTAGTAGTAGTAGTAGTAGTAGTAGTAGTAGTAGTAGTAGTAGTAGTAGTAGTAGTAGTAGTAGTTGTAGTAGTAGCACTATTTTTAATATTATCATTATTATTATCATCAGCATCATCATCATCAGCACCATCATCATCATCATCATCATCATCATCATCATCAGGAATAGTAGTAGTAGTAGTAGTAGTAGTAGTAGTAGTAGTAGTAGTAGTAGTAGTAGTAGTAGTAGTCGTAGTAGTAGTAGTAGTAGTAGTAGTAGTAGTAGTAGTAGTAGTAGTAGTAGTAGTAGTAGTAGTAGTAGTAGTAGTAGTAGTAGTAGTAGTTATATTATTCGTAGTATTATTCGTGATATGTTTCTCATGATTATTCTTAGCATGTTTCTGTTGCTGTATATTGATTGCATGATCATCATTATTGGTATGTGTCTTGCCTTTGTTATTCCTCCTCCTCCTCCTCCTCTTCCTCCTCCTCCTCTTTCTACCACCTCGCACGACCCCCCGACTGCCCTTGGAGCTGTGCTCTTGGGCCCCCCAATACCGGGGAGACGTAAGACTCGGGTACGGGGGACTCGGGTTGGATTGACGGGGGCCACCATAAAAATGACGAGACCCAATCTGAAATCTGACGCGAGCCCCCGCTGCAGGCATCCCATGAAAACTAGACCGTCAGAATCCAGGACGCGCTCGCCAAAAAACGTCGGCAAACCCGAGTTCTGGCCTCCTCGAGTCTCACGTCTCCCCGACAGTAGACAATTCCTGGCCTGGAACCGACCCTGACCCCCCACCAAGTGGCCACCACGTGCCCACCAGGTCACCACCTCGCCAAACCTCCAAGACGCCCTGGGACCGACCCTGACCCGCCACCGCGCCCCCACTAGGCGCTCACCACTGCAGGTCACCACCTCGCCCGACCCCTAAGCAACCCTGGGAGCTCTGTTCTTGGCCCCCCGCACCCGACACGTCCTGGCTCTGAAATGACCCTGACCCCGCACCACGTGCCCAACACGTGCCCATCAGGTCACCACCTGCCCGACCTCTGAACCGCCCTGGGAGATCTGTTTTGCCCCACCCCCCACCCCACACCACCCGACACTTCCTGGCCTGGAAACCAACCGTGACCTTTCAACACGCCCCCACCATGTGCCCACCACGTGCCCACCCGGTCAGCATCTCGCCGACTCCCGAACCGCCCTGGGGGCTTTGTTTTTGCCCCCCACTCACCTTGATAATTCCTGGCCCAGGATCGACCCTGACCTGACCCCCCACCACGTCCCCACGAGGTGCCCACCAGGCCACCACCTCGAACGACCCCCAAACAGACCTGGGAGCTCTGTTCTTTGGCGCTCCCTACTCGATAATTCCTGGCCCAAAACTGGACCTGACCCACACCACGCCCCCACCAGGTGTCCACCACGTGCCAATGCACCAGGGCACCGCCTCGCCCGACCCCCCGGCAGCCCTGGGAGCCATGTTTTTGGGCTTCCCACCTTGACATTCCTGGCTTGGAACCGGCCCTGACCCCCCACCACGCCCCCACCAAGTGCCCACCACGTGCCCACCAGGTCACAACCTCGCCCTACCCCCGACCCGCCAGGGGAACTTTGTTCGTGGACCCCCCCACTGGACAATTCCTTGTCCGGAACCGACCCTGCCCCCCAACAGCGCCCCCACCATGTGCCCACCACGTGCCCACCAGGTCACCACTCCGCCCGACCCCGAAGCGCCCTGGGAGCTCTGTTTTTGGGCCCCCCACGCGACAAGTTCCTGCCCGGAATCGACCCTGACCCCCTGATCCCCGAAGCGCTCTGGGAGCTGCGTTATTGGGCCCCCCACTTGACAATTCCTGGCCAGGAACCGACCCTAACCCCCCACCGCGCCCCCACCACACCAAGCCACCGCCTCGCCCGACCCCCGAACCGCCCCAAGAGCCATGTTCTTGGCCCCCCCCACGGGACAATTCCCTGCCCGGAATGCCTCCAACCCCCCATACCCCCGAACCGCCCTGGGAGCAGTGCTGTCGGGACCCCCACTCGACAATTCTTTGCCCGGAGCCGACCCTGACCCCCGACCAGGTGCCCACCACGTGCCCACCAGGTTGCCACCTCGCCCGACCCCCGAACTGCCCTGGGTTCTGTGCTTGGTGGCCCCGCCTATTCGACAACTCCCTTCTCGGAACCGGCCCCGACCCCCCGACCCCCGAACCGCCCTGGGAGCTCTGCTCTTGGGTTCCCCGAATCGACACTTCCTGGCCCAGAACCGATCCTCCACCCTCCGTATCACGCCCCCGCCTGGTGCCCACCACGTGCCCACCAGCTCACCACCCCGCCCGACCCCTAAACAACCCTGGGAGCTTTGATTTTGCGTCCCCCCCGCTCGAGAGTTCCTGGCCCCGCACCGACCCCGACCAACAAGGTGCCCAACACGTGCCCGCCAACTTGGCCACAACCTCGTCCGACCCCCCGACCGCCCTGGGAGCTGTGTTCCTGGGCCCACTCAGCAATTCGTGGCCCGGAACGGACCCTCCTCCCCCGCCACGCTCCCACCAGGCGCCGACAACGTGCCCACCAGGTGACAATCTCCCTCGCCCTACCCCCGCACTGACATGTGAGCCATGTTTTTGGGGCCATCCACTTGACACTTCCTCCTGGCCCAACACCGACCCTCACCCCCCACGCCGCCCCCACCAGGTGCCAACCACGTGCCCACCAAGTCACCACCTCGCCCTACCCCCGAACCGCCCTGGGAGCTGTGTTCGTGGTCCCCTCCACTAGACAATTTTTGGACCGGAACCGACCCTGACCTCTCACCACGCCCCCACCAGGTGCCAGCCATGCGCCCACCAGGTCACCACCGCGCTCGACCCCCGCCCAACAGTTGTGTTTTCGCCCCCCCCCTCACTCAATTATTCTTTGTTCGAAACCGATCCTGACCCCCCCTACCACGCCCCCACCAAGTGCCCATCACGTCACCAACTCGTACCGACCCTCGAGTACCAGACGCTGGAACGCCATCTTTGTTCACACTCCTATGGAGACAGGAGGAGTACCCCGAAGGGTAGAAAACTTGTGCAAACTCAGACACTTCCGCGCCGACGGCTCAAAAACGGTCGCGCGTGCTGTCTTGTTTCGTGTCTTTCGAGTTGTATGTTAACGGTGTCTGCCGAACTGCATCGCGGTTTCACAGACGCGGGTTGCGGCAAGGACGCAACAAAACAACACTTGAAACGCAAACTTGCGGGAAGACGAGATCGATCCGCGAAGCGGCCCCTCGCGGCCTCCCCACATGTACGACTTCGTCGCCGTGCTGATCCTCCCTGCTCCCACTCCTTCTCCTCTCCCTCCTCCTCCATTGCCCCCGCCTCTGTCCTGGGGCGCAGTCGACCTAGTCGATTCGTAATATCTGTGCTCTCGCCATACTCGTCCTCCCTCCTCTCCGTCCTCCTCCGACAGTTCGCAGCCCCCTCCGCCGACAGCTCGCAGCCCCAACACACACAAAAGGGTTGCGAATAAACGTCCAGAACTCCGCGGAGCGCACCAGAGGCGGCGCCGGCGCCGCCTGCGGTCTCCAGCGCCGACACAGGGCATCCACGCGGACCTCCGAAAAATCATGTGTGTTGGTTACGGCCGTCGTGCTACCGTCAACCCGCATCATAAGGCTGGGCAACCTTCCCACGGGTGCCCTTGCAGCCTTGCCTCCTCCGTCCGTCCTTGGCCGCTCTCGCTGGCCGCGCCCCGCTCACAGAGTGTCGGCATGGCCTCCCAAGGCCCCTGCACCGTCATCGTGCGTTCTTATTGTTCGGGGG